ACAAAACAATAATTTATAAATTATCAAGGGTTCGTGAGGGAGGGGGGAGGGAGGGAGAAAAAATGAGCTGATGCCAGGGGCTTAAATGGAGAGCAAATGTTTTGAGAATGATGAGGGTAACAAATGTACAAGTCTGCTTTACACAGTTGATGTATGTATGGATTGTGATAGGAGTTGTACGAGCCCCCAATAAAATGATTAATTATTTTGTACTTAGCAGAAACAAACAAATGATGCCTTCTTATCCTGTAGCTTGGCTCCTTGCCCCTTTTCTCTCTCAATCTTACATATTCAAAATCTGTTTAGATTGATGTGTGTAGATCATACTTGTTCTTTTCAGCAGCTATATTCAATATTAGGTTGTCTATTCATTTCCTCCCCCCCCCTCCCCCCCATCACAAGCTCTTAATATGATTTTCTTTGTAGAATAATGGGAGTGGGGAGGTACAGATAATAGTTTTGGCTTCAAAACCAACGCCCAGAATCACTGCGTAAGAAAAGTGAATAATGTCCCACCTGAAGCCGTTCACTATTTTACAAATAATTTAGGCAAAGGCTTATGGGCCCATGCTCATGTATAAAAATAAGGTTCGTCTTTTATGACAAGTACACTTCCACAACTTTAAATTATTATTTTTTTACATTTGAAAGTCTTTTGAAGAATCCACAGGAGTTATTAACCATCTGCATCCTGTTTTTCCGAAAGCACTTTTTTGGAGGTGTTTCTATTCCGGATTCTTCTTCTTTTCTTTTTGGAACCACAAGATGGTTTCGTATCTTGTGTTTTTTTCTTTTTCTTCAGACAACTAAGAGGATTGGGGCCGCTGACTTTTTGTGTTTTCTCCTCCTCTGCTCAGCTTCTTTGCTAGCCCCTGTTCTTCTTTGAGTTGCTGGATGCTTTGTTTCTCATGCCCGGAGACAAGCTGACCTGCCTCAACCGCTTTAACAACGGCAATGATTTTGGGAGAAGGTTTGTCCAGGACTGTTGTGTTCTGTATAATAAACAGGAGAGGAATTCCAGGCCTTTTCTTGATTTTCACTGACAAATTCTGATCCTGTGTTGCCACAAAGTAATGATGAGGGTTTCCCTCACCGACCATGGAAAAAGCAGGCATTCGGATCCACTCACTGAAATGGGGACAATGTTGAACTTGGCATTTCTGTGCAATCAATTTAGCCCCATATAAGTTTCTAACTCTTTTAGCACACACATCACAGGTTCGACTTGCCCCTACGTTTTCCCAGGCTACATCTGTCTGTGGTGACTCTGGGTAGATTTGAACCGACAACCTTTCAATGAACAGCCCTGTGTGTAATCATTGCACCAATAGGTCTCCTTTACTCATGGGTAATGGTATTATGAGCCATTTTCTCTCTTATTCTGTAATTCTGGTGGTACACACTGCGTCTCAGCCATGAGGTAGCGGGGCAGCTGGATGCGGCCCCGCAGCACCGCCTGACAGAAGGTGCCGACAGCAACAGCTGGTGGGGCTCGCAAACTCCGAAATTGTTGCCGAAGAAGCCGAGATGCTTCTTGGTGTGTTTCTGCCTCGTGATCTTCATGTCTGCTATGTATTTGCTTTTACACACAACTACTGCCCGGAATGTATTTGGATATACCATTTTTTGCAGCCATGTAGTTTTTGAACTAACAGTAATGCACATACCTTCTAATGTACAGACGAATTTCTCAGAATGATTAGCGTTCAAGCAGTGGTAGTGTTGGCTCATCGAAAGTGCTCACTGGGTTTCTTATTGCAGTCTTGGGTTTTGCAATATTGCCACCCTCCTTTCTCCCCTATTTTTTTGTGGTTTCTACCACAGGTTAAATGTGGCAGTAAATCGTTATCTCATATATTTGAGTAGGTAGCAAAGCTTTGCTCTTAAAAAAAATTAGTTTGTTAAGTGGCAGTTTATATTTCAGGTGTTCAAGTTTGTATTCAATAGTTTAAACTGTTTACCCACCCCACCCCTCCACCAATAGCTTACTCTATTCCACATTCCAAATTTCTCTTTTCCTTTTGTACATTACTGTCTTCCCCTTCACCCAGGTGAAGATATGTCAATCTTTTAACCTGTTGCTTCATCCTCCCTCCTTTGCCCTCCCCTCCTTGGTAACCTCCAAAGTCTGATCCTTTTGGTATGAAAGTCTTTGTCCTGGTTATTTTTCTGTACAACAGTGGTCATGTACAATATTTGTCCTTTTGTGATTGATTGATGGTTGATTTCATTTCACTCCGCATAATGTTCTCCTGGTTGATCCATGGCATTCAGTGCGTCATGGTTTCAGCGTTTATTTAAAACCATCTTATTGACATATAATTCATGAACCATATAGTTCAATGGTTTAAATATATTAAAGAGAGTTGTGCACCAACATTATAAAAAAGCTTTGGTCTTGAATCATGGACTTTGTTAATAGGAAGGGAAACTTGCAAAACTGTATTTGCAAAAGAAGAAGCTGGTCAGTTTGATTACTTTCATGAATGGCTGTGACTAATGTCCAAATAAGTAGTAAATTTCTACTTTCTTTTCTGATAATAACCCCAAATAAGAAACTTTTGTCTTGATAAAAACTAGCGATCAGAACTCTCAGTTTTTTTGGTTTTATCAAACTCTCAATAAAGGTTACTTGGAAGAATAATGATATTAAAGTGACAGTCTTGTTGAAATATCCCACGAAAAAACATACATCTGTGATGAGATTAAGCCTTCTTTGCATTTCATGACATTGAAGATGACTACTCTGAATGAGTTTGCAGTGAAAGCAAAGATGGATAATGTTAACTTTTAGTCCAGGAACTGCAATAAATGGGGATGCTTTTTGAGCACTTATTTTTCTACCTCCGTTATAGGAAGAAAGAAAATTTTCAAAGACTGTGCAAGAGAAGGTGCAGAACAGTTACCTACACTCACTTCTGGAAATTGGGGAGCTGCTGAAAAAAAGACTTGAGACTACAAAGAAAATTAAAATTTAAGAAAGTGTGAACCCTGAACGCTGATGACGTCACGACAGAGAATGACACCCTATTTCCAGGCAGAAGCTACGTGTGGTTGACCGTTATTTTAATCCAGAACTTCCACAAAACATGCATGAAGGACCTTGATCGTGAATTATTTTTTTTATGTGTTAAATACATACAACTGATTGAATTATTGTATATAAACCAGAAAACACGGCCCTCGTGGGGGTTTGACCACTGTTTATAAATGTTCATGTGCATATGGCAGCCACAAGAGAACCCCACTTTTCTTCTACTCCCCCATCACCAGAAACATCTGGGGCAGGTGGCCCTATAAACGCAGCAATAGAAACTAAGCCTAAAGCATCAGCCTCAGAGCTGCCAAATGGCCTTTCCAGTCCAGCAGTGGGAGTTTTGGTCTGGCCCTCGAGCCTGAGGAACCCTAGTAGGATGTAGAATGGGGACCATGCCTGGGAGCAGGCCCTCTTTCACCGCAATAGCTTCCCTCACCGACTGGCACCCCTGAGCCCAAGGCAGGTGAGACTTTGTCATAAGCCACTGAAGAGTGCCACCCAGATGACCACAGGTGCTCATTTTGTGGCTTTGAGAGTCCTGTAGCAAAGTTGTCCCCATCTGAGCTCTTGTGTGGGTTACATCAGGGATAGGGCGCTAAGACGGGCTGTCTGAAGAGAAATCAGTGCAGTCTGAGCTTCTGAGGACTAGCTTGCTGTCTTTCATCTCCTTGTGAAAGATGGGAAGTCGCTTTTATAAATGAGGTGTACATAATTTATGCAGGCAGGCATTTGGTTTCTTGATTTCTGCAACTGATTCATGAGTTATACAAGGAGGCTTCAAGAAGTGTGGGGAAGTTCTGTGACCTTCCATTTCCATTTTTCCACGAACTTTCTGAAGCCCCCTCATGTAGGTATATTCATACATCTATGTATGTATATATACTTGAAAATGAAGACCTAGTACTTTAGTGTTCTTAAGTAAGGGGTCTGGGAAGGAAGGACCTTCCCGTTGGTAAAAGAAATATCAACCTATGGGTTTGAGGTTCAGTCTACTTTCTTTAAACTTGAGAAGAATACCAGGATGGCATTTACTTCATTCACTTAGAGGTCGCCAAGACTTGTATCAGAGGTTGTCTGAGCAGATACAAATTACGCTAGAAAATGTTACACAGTTTATGCAAATGTTTTCATGACTTTTATGTTTGAATCCTTCTGGTTTTTTTTTATTCCCTTACCCCAATTTTAGTTAGAGTGATTGTGTAAGAACAAGGAAATGAATTTGGTGAGGAAACCCAAACACCTGAGGGAGGAAGGGCTGATCTTGAAGACTTAGGAGTCTTCTCCGTGGTCCAGTGAAATGCTGTTTTCCTTTGCACATCAGCTTAAGAGTGCTTGGAAATCTCTACGTAGAGCCATTGCGTTTTGTGTCCTCATCTTGTCCATACTAGAGTAACAATTGGATATGGTGATTCATAATTGTTTAAACTTCTAAGGAAATTTTTTTCAATGTTCAAAATAAGACTTGTTGGACAGCCTAGTTCATCAAATTATTTTAAAAGTTTTGTTGTTAACTGGTAGCCACAGCTGTCACATTCCTCATTCCAAAGAGACAAACTGTCTGCAACAAGATGAATTGAAAATTCAAACGGACTTTGAATAGAATTCAATGGCAACATATCATTCTATTATACAACGGTGGTCTGTTTAGGTGGAACGTGTGTGTGATGTGTTCTTGATATGTTTCTTAGAATACTCAAAAAAAAGTACTGTACATACAAGTCTTCTCTGAGACAAGTCTATCAGTTGACCATGATCAACCGAGCATGTGTGTGCCTCGCTGGCTTTGGTCCCCAGGGACAGTGTGTGCGTGACTCCAGTGGTCTACCTATCCAATCTCCGGCCTTGTGGCATCCGAGACCGACACATGATGCTACGTCCAGGTATGCTTCTTTGGTTACTTGACGATTTCCCACTCAATGTAGCATTTCAGTTAGATCCAACTTCTTACATTTTGAGATGATTGTAAAAAGAATGAAATTATGCAGAAATGGCCAATATCTTTTATTGATCTGTTCTTTTGGAAACTGTCAAGCACTATAAATTGTGTACAGTTTAAAAAAAAAGTATATATATATATATATTCTTACTTGAGTAAAAATCACCCACTCTTAGCCATTGTATGTCATTGGTATTTGAAGATAATTTCAAAATAACCCATTGCTATTTGCTGCTGCTGGTTTGGTTTGGGTTTTTTTGGGGGGCGCTGGGGGGTGTTTATGTGTGGGTGAGTTCTTTTGTTTTTGTATGATAAATTGATATTTAAAAAAATAGCAACAAGAAAAAACACAACTACTGTTTACAGATTGAAACATTACTGCTTTTTATACTACTGAGATCCTAAAGTTAAAGTCTCCAAAGCATATATTTGGTGTAGACCATCTAACTGATGTAGATAAAAGGCAGAGAAGTTTTCAGTGTTCTCCACGTAACAGAAAATGTGTAAATGCCTAGCTATGTTGCCCATCAATTTTGTATATTTTCATAATTTTAAGTCTTCAAAATTGCATTATATTTTGCAATCACTGTGTTCAGTCGGATTTGTCTTTCATTTTAACTTTTACTGTAAAAGGGGGATTTCAGTGTTTCCATGACCTATTATTGAAACTCTGAGTATTTGGCGTGACTTATTAACATGGAAAGTCGAGTCTTCCTTTTTCAAAACTAAGTATGAACTGGATGGGTTAATTTATATAAACAGCTTTCGCTGAGGTTGGCATTTCTGCCTGGTTCATTTTTATTTAGATTTTTAGAAGCTACAAATTTCTAGTCTCCAAGGGGGTTTCAAAAATTCATGGAAAATGGGGAAAAAATAATGGAATTTCCCCACAAATTTTTTAAAGCTACTTATGGCAGTTTCCCCCTATTTTGTAATGACCGTAATATCCCCAGCAACTCTTTAGTATTTGTGAATTTACATTTATCCCAAGGGTACTAGTTGGTTTTCGTTTCAAAGTTGCCCCTTGCAGACAGCATTCATTTATTCATCAGATGTGCATTGAGCATCTCCTTGCAGATCTCTGCTGATACACCGGTGAATGAACCTAAGCTGTGTGTGGTCTATGGGGACAGATTGTCAGGCCTTTCTGTACTAGGGCCACTGGGGGGGCTTAGAATTCCTGGGTGGGTTTGAACTATACCTTGTTAGTTGAGCACTTAACCATTGTGCCATCTGAGCTCCTTAAGAGTATCCTAGAAGGTCACTTTAAGCTAGGTAATAGGATCACTCAGTGTTGAGATTTGACCTGCAGGATGTGAAGTTAGCTGTGGACAAAAGCAAGCAAGTACAAAGGCCCCAACAGAAGACTAGGGGTTGAGATAGGAGGTCTAGTGAGAATGGGACCAGTAGCGAAGGGGAAGGAATAGGATTGTACTCCAAATTTCATGAGACTTTAATGGAGGATTTCAGGCAAGCTGATGAAGCATAGATCATCTAAGGGTGGTTAAACCCACAGGCTGAGATTCCAAACTTAGACTCATTGGCAATACAGTGAAAAGAATAGCTGTTGGTCTTGTCTTCTCCTAGTTGCTTTTCTCCTGTCCTATTAATTAGGTGGTTGCAACATTTTCATTTGCCTGTTGTCAGGTGCTGCCACTGCCTTGATGCAGCTGTGTACTCTGGAGTGATGAGTGGTGGACGTGTGCTCAAAGAGCATGCAGCTTTTTTGTAAGCTCCAGCTTCCACTTAGGCCAGCTGTGTGTTAGGACCCAGATCATGTGCTGTCTTACCTTGGATAGGACAGTAGTTCTTGCCCATAGGATTACCTAAGTGTCAGCCCAGTTGGGTAAGAATTGGGATCCAAGTCCCTTGCCTACAGTCTAAGCTCGTGAAGCATTCCTGGACCAAACAAAAACCCAGGTCCTTCTCATGTCAACCCATGAAGGCTTGGTGGCCATGTTCAGATTCCTAGATTCTATCGTGATTCTCTATCGTATAAGTCAATCTTCCTGTTACTGTTCCAGTGCCAGCATTCTTTTTTGTGGGACCGATGACCACGTACGATTTGTCAGTTTCACCATAGTTGTGGTATTATGTTGGCTCGTGTTGTGCTGTGGTGCTAGAGCTGTGCCAGCAGACTCGCCCATGGTGGACAGGATACAGCAGAGCTCCCAGACTGCTGGCTAGCAGTAAGGTCCCTATGTTTCTGAGAATTAGCCAGTGGAGCACAACAAATTAGTGTCCAGTATGGTGGTGGACCAGGCCCCTAGATTGGATAATACTGCACAACAGCTGTAACACGATTCAAAACATGGCAGTGATCATGAAGATGACACAGAGCCAGGCAACACTTCATTAGACAAGGAGCCACCACTGGATGACAACTAACATTTGTACATTGAAATTTTTCTTGGCATCATTTTAGAAAACTCGCAAGTTCTTGGATCATTTCGGATTCAGAAGTTCCTTTAAATGATATGTTCAGTTCTGGAAAGCCAGCCTGTAGTCTTCATGACAGTTTTCATAGCACATGAGCTATGGTGCTGGCTTTAGAAGCAGAAGGAAAAGGGATCTGACAGTAAGTGGCAGGGACTGAGTTGTATGTGGCGTATGCAGACGACCCATCTTTAATGGGAAATAATAGATACAAAGAGCCTCTGGCAAATGATGAGTTAGCCCTGTTTCTTCAGCTGAAGGACCCTATTATATAACGATACCCGCCTGGGTCCATTCAGTAACCTAGAATTATGGCTGTACTGCCACTTTCTATGGTTTCTCTCTTGATGGAGAGTCAAGATTAGACCATATTCAGAGACTGGATGCGTTCAGTTTTAGAACCTGCTCCTGGACCACCACTCATCTTTCTTAATCTGATTTCTATAGAACAGGGACCGCTTGGAAAGCCAACACTGCCTTTTTAAAAAATCATTTTATTGGGGTCTCTCACATTCCATACATCAATTTATCAAACATATTTGTATATATGTTGCCATCATTATTTTCAAAACATTAAAAAAATTTATTGGGAGCTCTTACAGCTCTTAACACAATCCATACATACATCCATTGTGTCAAGCACATCTGTACATATGTGGCCATCATCCTTTTCAAAACATTTTCTTCTTGAGCCCTTGGTATCAGTTCCTCATGTTTTTCCTTCCCTCCCCCATGGACCCTTAATTTATAATATTTTTCATGTCTTACACCGACCAGTCTCCCTTCACCCACTTTTCTGTTTTCTGTCTCCCTGGGAGGGGGCCATATGTTGATCATTGTGATCGGTTCCCCCTTACCCCCCCCCACTCCCTCCCCCATTCTCTTCCCCTCCTAGTTTTGCCACCTCCCATATTGGTCCTGAGGTGTTTATCTGTCCTGGATTCCGTGTTGCAAGCTCTTATCTGTACCAGTTGTACATGTTCTGGTCTGGTGAGATTTGTAAGGTAGAATTGGGATCATGATAGTGGGGGGCAGGGGGGAAGCATTAAAGAACTAGAGGAAAGTTGTGTGCTTTTGTCGGTGCTATACTGCATGCACCCTGACCGGCTGGTCTATAGCCCTCCTGACAGGGGATGTCCAGTTGACTGATAGGCTTTGGGTCTCCACTCTGCCCTCCCTGTCATTCACATGGATATGATTTTGTTCCGAAAATTCCTCTTTGAGCCTTCCAACCCTGTCTTTAAATATGAAATAAGAAAAAAACAGAACTCAAGCGAGTTTACCAGAGAGAAGCATCTAAAACGATCTTCCAAAAGCTCCACTCAGCGTTGAAAAGGGAAATACTGAAATTGTTGCACAAGTATCATCACTGATTGCTTCATTTATAGAGGGTAAATACTGGTTCTGAGAAGGTGGATGTTTCCAGGGAGCGTGTTTATCTCCCGCCTAGCTAGCCTGAACAGCCAGCCTAGAGATCGCCTAGGTAGCCTGAACAGCCAGCCTGGAGATCGCAATTATCCTCCACCTAACTCGACAGATGCTCCTGCCTTTTTGCTCCCAGTGACTCTAAATGTCAATCTGGCTGAAATTGAGAAAATCAAATAGAGGTTTATTTACTCTCTAAAGTTTAAAATTTCTTTGTGTGGGTATATGTAGACCTTTTTTTATATATTAATAAATCATCTAATTAGGGGCTCTTACAGGTATTACAGTCCATATATCAATTTTATCAAACACATTTGTACATGTTACCATCATTTTCAAAGCATTTTCTTTCTGCTTGAGCCCTTGGTATCAGCTGTTTTTCCTTCCCTCCCTTATCCTACCACCCTCGTGGAACCCATGATAAATTGTATTTTCAAATCTTACACCGCCCACTATTTCCGTTTGCCCACGCTTCTGTTGTTCATCCCCCTAGGGTGGGTGGTGGGATTGTCAATCACTGTAGTCATTTTCCCCTTTCTCCCGTCTTCCCCTGCCCTCATGGTTTCACAACTCCCATGCCTGCTCCTGAGGGGCTTATCTGTCCTGGATTCCGTGTGTTGAGAGCTCTTGTCTGTACATGCTCTGGTCTAGCTGGATTTATAAGGTAGAACTTGGGTCATGATAGTGGGGGCAGGGGGGCATTAAATAACTGTAGGAATGTGTGTTCTGTCGGTGCTGTGCTGCACCCTGGCTGTCTCATTCTTTCTTTGTGACCCTTCCGTGAGGGAATGTCCAATTGTCTACAGATGGGCTTTTTAAGAGCTGAAATTTGATGACGTTTCCAAAGAAACATGAAAGGGGGGTAATGTTATTGTGACCTTTCACAGGAAAACCAAGTACTGTGCAAAGCTGGGACTGATGGTAACTGAGAGTAACTAATGGTGACAGAGACACATATGAGAAACAGCCCTATTTCTAACTGTCAAACTGACATCATTTGGCTGTTGAAATCCAGCTTTAAAAAATGACCTTACCAGATGATGGCCCTCAGGGAATATGGAAAAGTGACACATGGTTCATCCATGTTGCTTTTCGATTTTAAGGGCCAAAAAAAGTACCCACAATCTATCTACTGAGTTGGACCTCCAGTGGAAAATACTAAAGCCAAGTCCTAAACGGGGACGGCGTGTGACCACAGCAGGTTCCACCCTGATAGCGAACCAGCCAACCAAGGCTGCTGCTGTCAAGTCAATTCCAATTCACCAACCTGCTGGGCAGCAGAACTGCCCCATAGCGTTTAGCCTGCTAGAGCGGCGTCCGCTTACGTTTAGATTGACGTACATTCAAAGGGAAACGCAGGTCACAATTTAAGGTATTATTTGAGAAAAGAAAACAGTGGCTTCTGGTCCATTTAACCAAAAGTCTGGAGCTTTAATTGGATGAAAATTACACCGATTGGAGACCTGGGGGTGGGGTGGGGGTACACTTTATAGCACCAATCCCTTCTGGGGGGAGAGGGGGGGAATTCACAAGTCAGCTGAGGTGGTAGTGCTCCAGTTACCCCCTAGGTCAGCTACAGAGATGCCCATGTGTGGTATATCCATGTCCAGGGACACCCAGGGCTCACCCAGCAGGTGAGCACTTCTCCCATGGGCTCCTTGTGTCCCCCTCCAGGGTCCTCCAGCCAAGCAAGGAATTCTGCCCTCCGGCCCACCAAACCACCACGCGTGTCTTTTCACAGCTCCTCCTTCTCGGCCCCCTTCCTCTGGAAGGCAGCCAGGATGTTTAAGCTCTTCTGCAGTTCTTCTTTCTTCCCCTCGCTCATCTTGTTCTTCTCGATCAGCTTGGTGATGCGGGTTAGCTCCGTCGTGGGGAAGTTGTCCCCTTGGTCTAAGACCTTGCCCATGATCTTCAGGTATTGCTCCGCCCACTTCTTTTTGGGCTCCTCCACATTCTCCAGGGTCTCCTGCCCCCGCTTCAGTAAGGCCTTGCGGGCCTCTGTGCTAGAGGCCCTGATGAACTCCCCGGCCAGGGTATCATAGGCAGGCAGGCAACCAGGCATACCCAGGTAGACCCCCTGCCCCTTGAGCCAGCGCTGGATGGCTCCAACCTTCACCGACCCACTGTACACCACCGGGTTTTCAAAGTCCCCATCACGGAAGAGGTAGAAGAATGGATAGTTCTCTTTGTCCAGCTTGTATTTCTCACTTAGCTCCATGTTCAGCTTGTCACCGTAGTCTGTGGACAGAAAGCAGAGATGAGGAAGGAGCTGGGCATGGGGGCCGGGGGACCTGGGGCAGGAAATTCCTATGGGGTCTGAGCTGAGGGGAAGAAGCAAATCAGCTCGGCAGTGTAACTTTCAAAGTGAGGACTGCCCTGCTGCTGCCACCACTTCCCCTGCGACATCAGTTTACCTCGCAGAGCTTCACTGTCCCATGACAAACTGGGATTCTTCTGAATACTTATGTGGCAGATACTGTTCTAGGTGCTGCAGATCTACAGTTGTACTAAAGAATAAGTACCAAGCTCCCGGCTCTCAAAGAGCTTGTGGTCTAATGGTGAGACAAGATCATGATAAACCAACGAACCAATCAACTGAACCTAAAGGCTTCGTGCCCTGATGAAAATCGAACAGGCTGTGTAAGCAGTGATAGGGTTAAGGAGGCCACTTGGTTGGCATGGGCATCCTTGTGAGCTGAGGGACCAGCCACACGATGACCAGGAAAGTCTTGGGCAGGAAGGACTTGCAAGTGCAGGAGCCAGCTTGGTTTACTGCAGGCTTGGAATGGCCCGTTTGGCTAGAGATGACCGAGGGGATCATGGGGGAGCCATGAACAGGGTCTCTGCCTGGGAGGGCTCAGTGAGGGAGCACAGGCCTCATGAGGCCTGGCAAGGCTCAGCGCTTCTGCCATGGTAGCTGTTGATATTGGCAGGAGCAATCCCAAAAACTAAAGCTGTGAAGACTGGTTTCTTACACTTTGTCAGAGAGAAATGTCCAAAATTATTAATTACAGGTCAGTAATCTTATTCTGCAGTTTAGCAGCTCGGCCATCCTGAGCAAGTTACTCCTAAGTATCAGTTTCTTCATTAGTTAAAAAAAATGTGGGTAATAGTACCATGGTTACTTCCCTCACAGGATAAAACATAATACAAACAACAAACACCTAGTAGTGGCCTGGCACACAGCAAGCATTTGATAAATGTTACAAATTACTATTATTAGACTAAAACCCCCCAAGGGCATTGACTCAATTTTTGGTCAAAATGGCCTGACTGCTCTGTCCTACTCTGCCCTGGGACCTGAAGCCCCTCATATGGGGGAAACTAATCTGGGTGAGCACCCACCACCCGCCACTGAAGTGGTATTCCGGTTGAGCTGCTTCTACCTCATGGTGCCTGACAAGGCACCAAAGCTGTGACATCTCTGGTGGGGCCCACGGGAAGATTAAGAATGCCTGAAAATCCTTAAGGACGACATAAAGGCTGGCAACTGAGTAGCAAAGTGAATTGAGAGTTGCTCTGGGGTCAGTGGATTTGAACTACAGCCAAAGCCCCAATAATGAAGAAACAGAAGGAAGCACTCACTGTGAGGTCCTCTGAGAGCACCTCAGTGCTCTGACCATAGTGTCCCCTCCGAGGAGAGCTCAGAATTTCAGCTGAGGTTGGAGGGGAGGGATGAGCTATGGTTCTGCGATGCCAGGAGCAGCACAGGCTTTGCTGGCCCTGGGCACTGAACTCCTTGAGACAGGGAAATGAACATTCCTCATGGGTGGCTGATGGAATGCCGCTGGGGAGTCCTCCTGCATCGAGCCAGTTGGGGAACTCATTCCTAGTGCCCTCCCACTGCGCCCGCCGCAGTCATCTTGGCCTTGTCCATACCTGAGATCCCCACCTCTGCCACCAAGAGGTCATCGTTGGAGGCCGAGTTTTCAGCCAGACGCTTGAACTCATCCTGCTTCTCACCGTAGGGATACTGGGTGTCGAACTTCACCAAGACGAACTTGCTTTTGGGAATGACCTGAGGGCGCATAGAGCTGAGCAAGTGGGGGGTTTCAGGGACCTTTGGGGCTCATTCCCCTTCCCAAGGGACCCCTGTTTAAGAAACAATAGGAACCACGCTCATGAGGGGGAGCAGCTCACAGATGAATATTCATGTACTCATCTGACTGACTGAAAAATTTTGTAAGTGCATGCTGTGTGCTGGGGACTCCACACTAATCAGAGACAAAACTGTGCCTAGACTAGAGGCTGTAATGGTACCTAGGATGCCTCCTGCAGCCACCTATGCAGTAAGACAGGGCAGACCCTCAGTACACCCTGCGTTGGTCCCTGTCATGCCCACCATACCAAGAGACCTAACTTAGTAAACATTAACCCAGAAAGCTGACAAGGGGATGTGGGTGGGGTAGGGGGAAGCCTACAAAGGAGTTGGCACCATGGAGAATGCTAGGAGCATGAACTCAGCAAATTCCACAGAGCTGACAGGAAGTTGCTAAGATACCAGCCTTGGGACATAGTCTCCTCTCCCTAGACTACGGTTCCCTGTGGCTAGATCTTTGATTTGAGCCCTAAACGGTTAGATTAAAGGCAAGGATTTACTATTTTTTCTTCCCTAATTGTAAAATTCACAAAGCACTTTGAAGGGCACAAGTGTGGCAGCATTTAGTGCACTCACAATGTTGTGAAACCACTGTCACTATTTAGTCCTGGAACATTTGCATTCTGCCCCTGGCCCCTATCAAGGCAGTCCCATACCCGATAAGCTGCCACTTTCTGCCCTGCCCAGCCCCTGGACATCTACTTTGTGTCTCCATGGATCTACTTACTCTGGAATTTCACATAAATGGAGTCATACAGCATGTGTGGCTTCTCTTAATATGTTTTCAAGCTGCTATGACCGGTGGCTTCTCTTAATATGTTTTCAAGCTGCACCCATGTTGTAGCATGTATTCGTACACAATTCCTTTTTATGGCTGGGTAAGAGTCCCTGTGTTGTGCAAATGCTTAATGCATGTGTTAACCACCCAAAAGGTTGTTGACTCAAATCCACCTGAAGATACTTTGAACAGAAGGCCTCACCATCAACTTCTGAAAACCCAGCCTCTGCGAACCCTATGGCACACAGTGCCATTCTGACACACCAGGCTTCGTCAGCATCAACCTGACGGCAACTGGTAGTGGTGTAGGGATATACCACATTTTGTTTATCCACGTGTCAGCTGATGGACGTCTGGGTTACTTCTACCTTTAGATGATAGTGAATGGGGAGGTGCAAGTATTCTGGTAAAAATATATGTTTGAAGATACAGGTTTTCAATTTTAGGGGGTTGATACCTATGAGTGGAATTGCTGTGGCATGAGAACCCCAGGGACTTCCTCTTGGTTTGACAGAGTCTACCCAATGCCTACCTTTTATTTTAAAATCTACCTTTTGTCGATAGTATTACCTCCCCCTCTTCCACAACTCTGTTGTAATCAGTACTTTATTTTACTGTGATCCCTGTTGATTTTTGGTTACAGGTAATCAAGCCTGCATAATTCCAGCAGGAAGCAAACTCGTGGCCCTTGGGTCAATTCTGACTCCGTGGCGACCCTAGAGGACAGGATAAAACTGTTCCCTTGGATGAAATGCCTCACTTTTCTCCAGAGGCACAGCTGGTGGTTTTGAACTGCTGACCTTGCAGTTAGCAGAGCTTAAGGCATCATAACCATTATGCCACCAGGGATCTGCAGGAAGCAAAGCAGCATCCTTTTCATTAGTCCTTGTTTGTTGACCTGCACTTAAATTCTAGGTTTGTAGAAATATCAACACTGTCTAAGGACCCCAGCAGAGCCAAAAGGAGCCATCGGACTAGATCATCTTACGTGGTCACTGACCCCATAAAGTCGGAGCTCTGGGGGCCTCATGGCAGGAACAAAAATATAAATCAGTTCACATCCCTGAGGCCCAGTTGGCCTGATTTTAGTTCAACACACCACACCTGTTCCTAACTCGGGGCCTTCTCACTGGATGTCCCTGCAGGGGAGAATGCACTTTTCCTGGGTCCTTCCACAGCTGCTGCTTTATATTAATCACGTCTCAGCTCAAATAGCCACTCTGCACAGACAGCCCTCCAACCACATCATCTAATATGGCTTCATTCCCATCATGCTTTTCTCACATGGCCTGCTGTCTTTCCGTCATGGTTTTAGTCCATTGCTGAAATTCTTAGGTGCCTATCTGTTGCCTGTCCCCTCCCCTCCACTGGGATGTCCATTTAGGAGACCCGTTTGCTGCTGTGACTTTACTGCACAACAATGTCTGGCTTGTGGAAGGTTTTGGTGGCAGAGGGTACATATCCTGAAAAGTGGGGTGGGGGGAGAGAGGTGGGGGGGGTGTGAATCAAAAAGGAAAGAAAGAACCACATAGGGTCCCTACCTTCAAGGGAGCCTAGATTCACATTAGGGGCTAATTTTAATAATCTGACAGTGGCCTAGTACTGAAATGGAACTGAGACTGCCACCGTTTCTCTTTCACCATTCTTGATAATCCACATAAGGCCCAAATGGTGTGAATGGCCACTCATTTGAATAATGATTTTTTGTTTGTTCCCTGACACAGCCTGTATCTCTTTTCACTTTAGAAATCTCTCCTTTTCTCATCTTTCAGGAATTAGTACTACCACTACCTGCAACTTGCTCCCTAAAAACAAACCACAAACCCCACTGCTCTTGAGTCAAAGTTACTGTGAGCCCGTTATTTGCCAGGGATCATCCTACGTGCTATGAAGGAACACAGCAGTGAACAAAACAGGCAGGACCCCTATCATAGGGTGCTGCTCTTCTGGTAACGGTGAAGGGAAGAAGCAAAAGAAGATACTGGAAATCACTGGGAAAAAAAGGGCAGAGAAAAGGCCTCTGGACAAGGTAACACTAAGAAACTCCTCTTTGGTTCAAAGGTCGCGGAAGTTCACATGATTTCGAGAAAACATTTGTATGTTCACTCAACACCTGTATGGAGCACTTCCAATGAAACGGGTTGTACAGATGACCAGTGAGACAGTCAACGTACTTCTTTTTAAGGGCGTAAGATTCTAGTGTGGGAGAGCAGACACTAAACCAGATGAGGAGGGGGATCAGTAATAAGTGCGTTACTCACTGCCATTGAGCCAATTCCCACTCGCTGTGGCCCTACAGGACAGGGTAAAACTGCCCCTGTAGATTTCTGAGACTAATCCTTTATGGGAGTAGGAAGCCTCATCTCTCTCTCCAGCTGATGGGTTCGAACTGCTGACCCTGCAGGTTAGCAGACCAACTCCTAACCACTATAGCTACTGGCCTTGTAAAGCAGCGGTTCTCAACTTGGGAGTTGAACGACCCTTTGAAAGGGGTCACCTGATTCATAACAGTAGCAAAATGACAGGGAGGAGGTAGCAACGAAAATAATTTTATGGGTGGGGGGGTGTCGCCACAACATGAACTGTATTAAAGGGTTTCGGCATTAGGAAGGTTGAGAACCACTGCTTTAGAGAGAGGGCAAGGAAGGGCTCTTAGGAAGTTAACATTTAATCTAAGTCTGAATGATGAGAAGTAACCAGCCTTGCCAAGAGTTGGGTAAAGAATGTTCTGGGCACACGGAACAACAGCTAGTGCAAAGGTCCTGAGGCAGAATGAGCTGGAAATATTAAGAGCAGAAAGATGGCTATATGGCTAGAGTAGAAGTGCCCAGGAATAATAGCAAGGGGCCAGATCATGCAGGACCTAAGCTACTGTACATGGAGAATTGTCTAGAAAGCTCAAGACTGGTAGCAGGGAGTTGCAAGGGAGCAGGGTGACTGGCTGAGCTGGGGGGCCATAACACTGTTCACTTATGATGCAACATTTCCCCATTGAGGAACAGTGGTGTCGGGGTGTCACTTTGCCAATAAAAGCCTCAAAGCATAGGGTGCTGTGGGGCCCGCCCGATCCCCCTACACTTTTAAACTTGAAATTTTGCATCAGCCACAGGTGCCAAATACACGGCAGGGCCTCCCTTTGAAAAGAGGTGGAGTTTAAACACGTGGGGGAGAATTAAGTGTTCGACTTCTTGGTTTCAGTTTCCCCATAAGGCATACAAAAGAAGAAATGAAAACCACGGGTTCTCTCAACACTTAGCTTGCCCATGGGGGAAGTTAAAGCTGTGATAAGGTGATGGCAAGGAAGATGGGTGGGTTGGGATTGTGAAAGCAATGTTGTCAATTAGGCTCCAATATTTTAATTTACCCGGGCCAGGCCTAAAGATGGGGAGGGTGGTGGCAAATCCTGGCGTGCCTAGCCAGGTTCTCATTCCCAAACCCCAAAACGGCGGCTGAACTGAAGCATGTTCTAAATGCCTGCACTTTTCAAGGGGGCGCGGGATATTTGAACATGGCTTGCATATTGCAAAGCAGGCTGAGTCCACTCCAGGGGCAGGCACGCGCCGAAAGGCTAGAGGCCATAAATCATACCCTGAGTTTCTACCTTGAGGCTTCCAGCTGGGATTTGAAGATTTGATCTGGCCAGGCACTGCCTATCCACACCCCCATACTTGGAGGGAAGGGGCACCCTGTTCCCACCGCTACATCTTTGCAGCGGGTGCGGGTGCCCCTTGTAGCATGTCATGTCCCATGACCATAATACGCCCCGGGCCGGAGGTCCACCGGGAGCCTAAGAAGATGGTTAGCCGCAGGATGGTCAGCGCCGGACTGCCGGGCGCTCAGCTCACCTGCTTCTCCTCCACCCCGCCTCCCCTCACCCCCGATAGGTGGGAGCTTCCCTAGGCGCTTGGTTACTTGGACCAGGTCCCCCGCCCCCTTACCTTGTAGAACGTGACAGTATCCAGGGGAAGGGCACCCTTAGTGTGTAGGCCGCTGCTGCCAAGCGGGGCGGAGAGAAGCAGAAGGCCCAGGAGAAGGGGAAGCAGCGAGGGGAGAGAAGCCGTGCGCATGGGGCCGGAAGCAGCCATAACGACGGATCTCTGGATTTCAAGCTGCGACCTAAGCT